AAATTTTTCACTTGGTACAGAAAAAGAACGAAATCTTACAATTAACTTTAATTAACTTTCACTTTACATAGTATTTTCCTTTTCTTGTTCTTTTTTCCATTTTCCTTTCCTTAATTTTCACTATTTGCAGCAATTTGCACTTATCCTCGAAAGAAGCACAACATTTTGCAATTCAAATGTTATCGTTGGTACTTTTCAGTACAGAATAAAATTTCAAAAGAAATCAAATAAATTTCTCGTCTTATTTTGCAAATATTCTCTATTCTCATTGGATAATGAATCTTTTAAAGAAAAAATAGAAATAGAGAAAAAGTTACAAAAAATCATTTTAATAATAATTTTTTATAATTGTAATAATTTTATTAATAACAGTATTACTATTACATAAAAAAATCTCTCTTTCTTTGAAATTATTTTAAATTTTAAAACAAATGTTTGATTATATAATTGAATTTTTCAAATTTCTCGAATTTCATTAAAATCTTAATATCGCAAGTAGATTTTCCCTCAGAGAATTCTTTTTTTTTTTTTAAATACTTTTACACTTTCTTTAATACCAATGTATAATATTAAAATTCATTGTCTCTATCTGTAAATTCAAATCAAATTGGGTTTTCCAACTTTTATTCAGATCAAAAGAAATTATTTTTAAAATAGCATTTTATAATATTTACTGTAATTAGAAATAATGAAAAAAAGAAACACTTTCTTTGATACAGAGGAAAGTTTCTTGTTTTGATTCTCAAAAAAAAAAGTTTTCTTTATTAATTAATGAAAGTTTCTACAACGAAGAAAGAAAAATTTTTTTGAAATCTAGCAAAAACCCCACGACGACCTTTTGAGAAATATTATTTTTCCATCGTTGTTTTTTATCATCATTTTAGGTTATTTATAACTAATTATATAATAATAATCGACATAATCTGTCCTCACGTAAAGTTAGTGTTTTTTGTTTCCATTTTTTTGTTTTATAGTTCGAATTGTTATGTCAAAAGTTTGACAGTGAAGTGGTAAATAATAAAATAAGTGGAGAAAGAGAATTTAACCTCAATTTCAAAAACCCAATAAAGAGGCAAAGTTGAAGTTATTAAAAATAATTATATATTTTATGAATTACATATTTTTGTATTTAAATAATTTAATTCTCGTAGTTAAATTCTGATAAAAATTAAATTAAAAAAGAATTTTAGTGCGAACCTTAGAAAATAATTAGAAGTGTTACAGTAGAATTCTTTATAGAAATTAGAAATAATTAAATTTTGAATAGCTTTTAAATATAACAAATTATTAATTTGTTAGCTTTCTTAAAATTTAAATGTTATGAATAATATTATTCAAAAATTCTAAATAATAGGGGAACATAGTCTAGGTCGGCCACCTTTTTGACTTTTGTTTATAACTTTTTTTTAAAAATAAATTTGGACAATTGAAGTATATGGTTGGAAAGTCCTGTTTAATAGGAACATTTTTTCTGTACAAAGTAAATTGACAGGTTTAAAAATGAAAAAGTTATAAAGATTTAAAAAAAAAAAAATTTGTAGTCCAGGTTGGCCATTACAGTCAAGGTCGGCCATGTTTAAAATTCAAAGGGCATTAATCGTTAAAAAATAAAATAACATGTTTGGAGTTACGGAAAATTGATTCTTTATTGTTTACAGTTTGTAACTTAATGAAATAACAAAATAATAAAAATAAACAATATAAAAAAATAAATATAAATAAAAAAAAATTTTGCACTAAAATATTAATAAAATTAAATAAAAATATTAATAAGATGATCAATTATATTATGAGTTATACAGAATTGCAGTTTTTGCAAATGAAGTAGCTCGTCCTCATCTTTGCGCATTTTAAACACATAGTGGCCGACCTTGACAGTAAGTAACATTACCGAATTGTTGTAACCATAAAGAAATACGTTTCGGGATTCGATTTTTTACTTTGTTTTCCTTTCAACCATGAGTCCCACAAATTTTCTGCATACTTGCCTTGACGATTCAATTTGTTTTTTATCTTTTATTAATGGTTTTTCACATTATGCACAAAACTTTTTTTGAGCTTTTTTTGTACCGACGTCACAGAAAACACAATTTTCGATTTTCCGAAAATGTAATTGAACAAAAAGTTAGGTTTCACTAAGACAAGCTTCGACAAAAATGCGCGTAGGTGGCGCTAGTGAACTTGACAAAAAAACGCGAGTGGCCTACCTAGACAGTAGGCCAACCTTGACTACATTCCCCTAATTAAATTTTGAAAGACTAGTAGTTCAAATTTTTATAAAAAATTTTTCAAATGGTTATACATGGAAAGTATTTCGAAATTTTAAATGAATAAATAACAATATATTTAAATTTTATTTTATAAGAAAGATTAAAATTTGAAAAATAAAATTTCGAAATTCTGAAAAAATTAGGTTTTTAATAAATAGTAATTAAAATTTTTTTGAAGATGTACTTGAATTCTCGAAAATATTTTTAAAAAAATGAAACAATATGAAATTTTGTAAAATTTTATAATAAAAAACTTAATTTTTCCATCTTTAAAATTAAATTTTAAAAGATTTTTAAATTAAATTCTTTGAAAATTTAAGGGAAGCAAAAGTATAAAAATATTAAAATTTTTATTTAAGAAAATTGTCAATTACGTACATTATTTTTCTATAAAAATTCTTAATGTTCTGAATAATTTTATTCAAAAATTCTAAAAAAAATTGAATTTTATAAGAATTACTGTTCCAATTTTTAGAAATAATTAAATTTCAAAAAAATTTTAATTGAAATTATTTAAAATTTTAATTCCCGTTGAAAAATAAATAAGAAAAAGTATTTAAATTTAAAGAAACAATTTGTTTTTTTAAAAAATACAATTAAAAATTTTTTATAAATAATTGCATTTCCGAAAATAATTTTAAAAAAAATTATTGAAACATTTGAAAATTTTGTCAAATTTCATTGGATTTCACTAAATTGTTCCAGTGGTACTCGAAAGTTCAATTATTTAATCAAAAATATCTTACGTTCAACTGTTCAAGTTGTTATTAGAAACATCTTGGCGATTTCCATAGAAAGAGTTGTTTAAATAATTAAATTTTAAACAAAAAGTGTTAGAAAAATTATATTTTTCAAAAAATAAAAAATTTTTATGAAATTTCAAAAAGAAAATATTGTAAAGCAACAATGGGAAGAAAATTTCACCCGCGCTTAAGCGCGTATAGTTTTGCTAGTTTATTAATAAAAAAAAATTAAATTAATAAAAATTTTGCATACAATTTGTTTTAAACTTAAATTATAACCAGAACTTGGAAACTCCTTTTCCTTAAATTATATTTTTTTAATTTGCATGGATGACTTTTTTGTGATTAAAAATTGTATATAATATTTAGAACCTTACTATTTTTTTTGACAATTAATTCCTTGTAGGTAAGTAAATATTTTCAATATATTTTGGATATTTTTAAATTCCAAGAAAAGCAGTGGGATTTAGTAAACTCAGTTGTCTTAATAGAAGTAAGAGAGAATTGGGATTTTCCTTAAAGTTTTCGTAAATAGGAGAGAAATTCAATCCGTTGAATCTGACAAATCTCACAGAGCTTTTGGTTTCGTATACAACATTTTCAGCCTAAAACAAAGCTCATCCTTAATTTATCGTTGATGGTAGAATCTTCTTAAAAGACTAAGAAGTTAACCGCAAGTTAAGAAGAAGAAGAAGAAGAAGTAGAAGAAGAGAGTGATGGAGATAAAGATGATGATGAAGAAGAAGAAGAAGAAACAGTGCAAAAGGGTTATTCACGAGACTTTAACAGACGAAGCTGACGGAAATATGCTCGAAAGTTTACTTCCGGTAGAATTATGAAATAGCTTTGGTTGGGGTCCAGCTGTTACCAAGTTTCAATGTTCAGGACAACTGCTGAGAGAGCGTCTTGATGATAAACAACTAGGTGATACTCTGACGGGTATTATAAGTAGCGAAACAAAAGTGCTGTTATTTCAGATGAGCGCATTTAATATAGAGTTGTATTTGTCATCGCCGTGGCGCCGCTGACACGAACGGCGTCGCTTTAACTTTTCAATGAAAAAGGAAGAACAACAAAAATGTGAGGAGAAAGAAATAGCTGAGAACGGGACAAAGGTGGCTTTTTTCTTTTCTTCTGTTTCTTTTTCTTTTTCTTTATTTTTTTTTTTTTTGAAAAAAGACCGAACGGGAAGCTAGAGTTACAAACTCCTAGGTAGTTATTTATCGCAGGCAAAAGTCTTATTGGACTTCGACTGTCTTTCGCTTCACTGTTTCGCGTCTGTTATCGTTTGGGTTGAATGTCACTTTAAGTCTTTATTAGTTACCACCATTGTCCTCTAACTGCTCCCACTCGCTCTAAATAAATCTTCTCCTGTCAAATAATGTTGATAATATTTATAAATTTATTTTTAAGTCCAAATTCAATTGTTTCTCTCTATCGATTTCATGATATTTCCTAATGTCTTTTTTTTAACATCAAGGGACGGATTTTTGACATTTATTTTATACACAATGTTCAGTATTGTAATTTGTACCTAATATTGATAAAATGTTACTTACAATAATAAAATATTAAGTTAGAAATAAAATTTATCTATAAAAAAATTTCCTACATTTCTTATTTACCTCAGTAAAAATCAATTCCGTATCTTTATATTTTCGTGCATAGAAAGAAAATAAAAATTATTGTCTTTTTTATTTTTCTGCGTTTCTTCATGTACGATATGGAATTAATGACAAAAGTTTAGAAAAAACCATAGGCGCAGATTCAAAAATTTTCTTCATAACCGTTATAAAATTAAAGAATTTGTTCTATACATAAAGAATATTTTATTATATGTGACGCTCCACGAGAAAAGGGACCTTATGACAAGAGTAAAATAAGGTCCCTTTTCTCGTGAAGCGTCACATATTCATTATTTGTATTTTATTGTTCATTAGATAAATGCATAGGTAACAAAATAAAAAAGACAAATTCTGTGTTCTATTGTTAAATTACTTTATTTAAAATAAATAATTTTCGCATCAAATACAAAGAATGGAAATTGCAACAGATTTCTCCATAGAACTAAAATAATTAATTCAAAAAATCTTGAAACAATTAGTTAATTTTTAAGGTTTAGGTTATGGAAATATTCTCTTTCTTTCTGCTTGTACTTTTCAATTTCATTTGCCATTGCAGTTAGCCAGTTCGATCTTTCATAAATAGGGGAACATGCTAATGTCACAAATACAGTGCTTTCACGAATACTTTTTTTTATTTTTGGACTACTTATTACTGAAAGTTCTACTTTAGGCAATAATACATCAACTTTTCCGTCCCTATTCTCCAAAATATCTTCCAAACTTACTCTTACGAGAGGATCTGTAATTATTGTTTCGTATGTCATTAAATAAGACAAAGAATTATTTTTGAGCAATGAATAATATGAATATGATTCTGTGTAATTGCTTTTGCAAATGCTGAAGGTTACTTTTTTGAAAATATCGTTAATCTTAATATTATCACCGTAACTCTTTGTTTCTTTTCTCTTGAAAAAACACTTTTCTGGTTTATAATTTAAAATCGAATTTGAACTATATTGTCGAATAGCCAAACTGTATAATGCTCTTATCATGCTCCAAGCTGCGGGATTGTTGAAATTAATTTGCGATTCATCTTGCAGAAAAACTATAATAGCTACAAAATCTTCAAACACTATTATATCCTTAATATCTTTTTTCATATAACTCTTGAGTAATTTATTGATGGGAAATTTAAGAAAATAATTCAACCTATTTGAATAAAGGTCAATGTTATATCTACGTGTATGAACGTAATCAGTTAATTTTCCCAGAAAAGGAGCATATCGTAATATCTCAAAAAATGTTGGATTCTTCAATTGTCTTTTGATACTCCATTCTGGAATATTACCAGTTCTGTTCAAATGTTCAGCAAATGCATACATTTCACTCTCGTTCAGAATGTAGTGACTTAAAGTTTCGTAAGCGGTTGCTAGGTCATAATTTGTAAGATATTCTTTTATTACCTTTTGTCTCAGAGCTTTTAATGTCTCATATTCATTGATTCGCTCACTTGGAGATATTTCTGTTGATACTAATTTCACGACAAATATAATTGTAATGATAATTCCAAGAATGGTAATTTTATTCATTATGATTAAAGAATGATAAAATTTTTCAATATACTTTGGTTGAATCGACTATTTCAATTAATTGAATTGAATTAATTATTCTTGGTACTTTGGCTTTTTTATCCTTTCAGGAAAATTCTATTTCTGATCTCTTTTTTTTCCTAATTATTTAAATTGACTAAATTAATATATATATATAAAGAACCGAATAAAGTAACAATTATTTCTCAAAATCAAATAATATAAAGTAACTTTTACTAAATCTAGGGGGACACACTTTGTTAAATTTTTTTTTACTTTTATTTTTACTTTCAGGTTGATAAATTTCTATTTTCACTTTCAATATGTTAGAAAGTGAAAATAAAAATCTGTCAAAATGAAAGTGAAATTGTGAGTAACAATCTATCAATATGAATGGGAAAATAAAAGTTTGTCAAAGCAAAAATAAAAATAAAAGTGCAAAAAAATCTACCAAAGTAATTAAGTGAAAGTAAAAATGAAAATTTATTATTATTTACAAAAAGAAACATTTCAAAAAATCTTACCACTTCAGGGAGTTCGTATCTTCCACTAAAATTTAATTTCAACAAATATTTGAGCATTGATAAAAAATTATAAACTTATTTATTTTTTCAACAATAATATCTTTTTAACTATAAAAATATTTCCTACATTTCTTATTTACCTCAATAAAAATCAACTCCGTATCTGTATATTTTTCTGAAAAGAAAGAAAATAAAAATTGTCTTTTTATTATTCTAAGTTTCTTCAATCCATAAAATATGATAATATTGTTTAATTTTTGTAACTAACTTTAAATATGAAAAATATTCAACGCATCGAAAATTTATTTTAAATAATTGATGAAAATTTTTAAATCTTATTTTGTTTTCAATTGAAAATACTACATTTAATTGAGTTTCATTTTCTTTATATATACTTCTTATACTTATAAGCTACAAATTTTAGATAAGATGGCTTTTATATTTACAATTGAAAATTTAGAGATTATCAATTATAACTTTTAATAATTGATAATAATTTATAACTTTTAATGTTGAATAATGTCAGAAGTATCGTTTTGCGTAATAGAAAAATTAATTACATAATCACAATATCTCCATTGTTCAAAGAAACGAAAACTTTTTTCGATACAAATATTTAAAAAAGTATTCACTTTATTAATAATTTAAAAGTTAAATTGAGCACTTAGCAACTTTATAATCTATTTTTCAATACCTAATGCAATATTATTATAATAAAATTGTTAGAACAAATATATAATTATTGCTTTTTTGTATTATTTCATGTATCATATGGAATTAATGACAAAAATTAAAAAAAACCATAAGCACAGATTCAGAAATTATCTTCATAACCGTTATAAAATTAAAGAATTTGTTCTATGGTACTTACAAACAATTTGCTTTATTCATTATTTGTATTTTATTGTTCAATATATAAATGCATATAGAAAATAAAAAAGACAAATTTTGTGTTAATTATACTAATTAACAAATTAAAGTTAATTATACTATTATTATTATTTTTAAAGTATTTTATTTAAAGAAAATTTTAACAGATTTCTCTATAGAACTAGAAGAAAAAATTTAAAAAATCTTGAAACAATTAGTCATTAATTAAGGTTTGGGTTATAAAAATATTCTCGTTCTTTCTGCTTGTAGTTTTCAATTTCATTCGCAATTGCAGTTAGCCAGTTGGATCTTTCAAAAATAGGAGAAAATGTTAATGTCGTAGATTCTTTGACTTCATATGCAGAATTTTCTAGCGATGGACTATTTACAATACAAAATTCAACTTTAGGTAGAATTATAAAAAGTATTCCGTACGCTTGACTCACAAAGTTTTCCAATCTAACTCTTACAAGAGGATCTATAATTATTGCATAGTATGTTATCAAAGATTCTGTTGAATTGTTATTGACCCCGCAAATACTAAAAGTTGTTCCTTTGAAAATATCTCCGGTTTTAATATCATCAGCGAAATTTCTTTTTATAGTTCTATAGCTAATTACACACTTTTCAGGAATAAAATTTGATGGAGAATTATAATTGTATTGTCGAATAGCCAAAGTGTATAATGCTCTTCTCATTCTCCACGATGCGAGATTTTCAAAATCAATTTGTGATTCATCCTGTAAGTAATTTACAATCGCTAAATAATCTTCAAACAATATTTGGTCCTTTACATCGTTTTCTATATATTTTTTAAATAATTCACCAACTGAAAATCTTTGTAAGTTATGAAAGATTTTTAAAGCATAGTCAATTGTACGTTTATGCGTTTGTAGGAAATGAAGAGAATTTATTTCCATATAAGTATTATATCGTAATTGCTCATAACTTTTTGGATTCTTTAGTTGTCTTTTAATACTCCATTCTGGGATATTTCCAGTTCTATTCAAATGTTCAGCAAATCCATACATTTCATTCTCGTTCAGAATGTAGTTACTTAAAATTTCGAAGGCAGTTGTTGGATGATAATTTTGAAGATATTCTTTTATTACTTGGTATCTCAGAGCTTTTAATGTCTCATATTCAAAGATTCGTTCATTTGGAGATATTCCTGTTGATTCTAATTTCACGACAAATATAATTGTAATGATATTTCCAAGAAGAATTATTTTATTCATGATGATTAAAGAGTGTTACAATTATTGTAATAATTATTGTCTAATAATTAATTACTCTCGGTGTTTTGGCTTTTTTGTTTCAAACAATATTTTCATCTATCTACGTCTGTAAATTATTATTTTTTACTATTTTTTTAATATACATGACGAAAAGGGGATAAACTAACTAAACAAATCCGACAACTGTCAAAAAATTTGGTTTTACAAATTATTTAAAATTTAAAATTAAATAAATTAATATACATGAAAAACAGAATAAAGTAACAATTATCACAGAGAATAATATAATAGGGTAACTTTTACTAATTAAAGGAGCACACTCTGAACTTCGGTAGGGAGTCAATTATGTAACTTAATTTTTATTTTCATTTTCATTTTCACTTACACTTTGATTAATTTTTATTTTTACTTTTATTTTTACTTTCAGGTTGATAAATTTTTATTTCATTAATAAAATTTTTATTTCTTTAATAGAAAGTAAAATAGAAATTTGTCAAAGCAAAATTCAACATAATATGTTGATATAATAATAAATAATAATAATAATAATAATAATAATAATATTATAAATAAAAGTCTAACAATGTCAAAATAGAAAATAAATTCAAGTAAATTTTAGTAAAAATTATGAGATTGCACTTTGAACATAGGAAAAAAGTTGTGGAAATATTTGAATTTAATGAAATTACATTTAATTTGGAGAAAGTTTGGTTTTACTTAACTCCATATTTTTTTATTGTATTTACTAATGCATTATTATTGAGCAAAAAAATTATAATTTAATAAAGTCTTACCTCATCAGGGAATTGTATTTCTTCCACTGAAATTTAATTTAAGCCAAAAATGATAGCATTCATAAAAAATTATACATTTTTATACATTTTTGAACATTTCATCTATTTTTATCTACAAAAAATTGCCAACATTTATTATTTAACTCAATAAAAATAAATTTTGCATTTTTATCTTTTCGTGAAAACGGAAAATAAAAATGTTTTTCTTTTTATTTCGCCGCTTTTAGAAAATGTATAAAGTATAATAACAATGTTTAATTTATGAAGCTAACTTTCAATGTAATAAAAATTCAATGCATCGAAATAGCATTAAAAAGGATTGAAAGAAAAAGTTTTAAAAAATAATTCGTATTTCACGGAAATTTCTATATTTAAAATAATTTTTAATATAAATATTATGAAAAATTACTTACCGTATTAAAAATTTAAAACCTAAATCCATGCAGTTACCAACTTTATAATTCATTTTTTCATACAGAACGCAATATTTTTAGAATAAAATTTTAATTTAAAGAGTTACATTTCAATAATTTTTTGCTATCTCTACATAAAATTATAAAATCTTTTTTGCAGGTAAATTAAAAGATATTTGCTATTTTCATGTTCAGTATTTTACTCTTCAACAGATAAATGCATACATTAAATAAAAATGTCGAAATTCCTACATATTTAAATTGACTAAATTAATATATATGAAAAACAGAATAAAGTAACAATTATTTCTCAGAATCAAATAATAAAGTAACTTTTACTAATCGAGGGGGACAAACTTTGATAAAAATTTTTTTACTTTTATCTTTACTCTCAGGTGGAAAAATTTTTATTTTGACTTTCACTTTAATAGAAAGTGAAAATAAAAACCTGTCACTCAAAATGAAAGTGAAATTGTCAGTAACATTCCAATCAATATGAATAAGAAAATAAAAGTTTGTCAAAGCAAAAATAGAAATGAGAGTGCAAAAAAATCAGCAAAGTAAAAGTGAAATTAAAAATTAAAATTTATTATTATTTACAAAAAAAAGAAACATTTCAAAAAATCTTACCACTTCAGGAAGTTCGTATCTTCCACTGAAATTTATTTTCAACAAAATATTTCTACGCTGATAAAAAATTGTGCATTTTTTTACATATCTCAACCAAAATATCTATTTTAACCATAAATATTTTTATTTTTTTGTGAAAAAAGAAAATAAAAATAATTGTCTTTTTATTTCTTCGCGTTTAGGTAATTCAAAAAATATGATAACAATTTTTAATTTTTGAAGAAAACTTTTCCAATATGATAAATATTTAAAGCAATAAAAAAGCATTTAAAAATATTGAAAGAAAAGCATTTTAAATATAATTCATGATAATATAATTAATATATTATCATGAAAACTTCTATATTTAAAATAATGTTCTTATTTTTTTCTTATTTATAATTAAAAAATTATTCATCTTCTTTTATAATATATAAATATCATTTGCGTAGATTAAAAATTAATTACATATTCACAAGTTCTGAACGTTCATATGAATGGAATTTTTTTTCAATATAAATATTATTAAAAATTTTTAAAAATCAAAATAAATTTGTTAAGAAGAAAACATCGTTTTTTTGCTTCATTTTCAATTGATCGATCTTCTGAATAATATTTATTATTAAAAATATAATTTTAATCAATAATATTAAAATTTTTCGAAAATTATTCAATTTTAAAAGCACTTTTTTAAAATCTTTAACAAAAGCATATTTTTATTTATCAAAAAACGAATAAATTTGTTAATTTACTAAATAAAAGTCAGTCATGAACTTTTATCTATGCACGAAATAAAGAGAATATAAAAATTATTGCTTTTTTTTATTTTTCTGCATTTTGACAAACCGTAAAATATGATAACATGTTTAATTTTCATCGCTAACTTTCAAAATTGTATGATCAAAATATAATTGCATGTAAAAAATAAAGAAGACAAATTTAGTTTTTTTTTTTTTTTGTTAAATCATTTTATTTTTATTCAAGTTCAACTTTTAAAATTTACATTATTAAAATTATTCAAAATTCTCATTTAGAATGAAAAAAAAATCTTAAAATAATCTTTTAGTCAATTTTCTTGGTTATTAAAATATTCTATTTCCTTTTGCTTGTAGTTTTCAATTTCATTCGCCATTGCAGTTATCCAATTGGATTTTTCATCAAATGGAAAAGTTTTTGTTATTAAAAATACAGTGTCGCCATATTCAGTTTTTTTTATCAATGGATTTCTTCTAATAGAAAATTCTACTTTAGGAAATATTACGTAAATTATTCCTTCGACATTATCCACGATGTCTTCCAAACTTACTCTTAGGAGAAAATCTGTGATTATTGTTTTGCATCTTACCGTATAAAACATAGTATCATTATTATATACAGAAGAATATGAAAATGATTTTTTATTTTTGCTGCTGCAAATACTGAAGTATCTCATTTCGAAAGTATCTCCAATCTTAATATCATCAATAAAATTCCTTTTTGCTTCATGCATAGAAAAACATATATCAAAATTAAAATTTAATTCAGAATTTGAACTGTATTGTCGAATGGCCAAACTATATAATGCTCTTCTCATTCTCCAAGCTGCGGGATTCTCCAAATAAATTTGCGATTCATCTTGTAGTAAAATTGCAATAGCTAAATAATCCTCAAACGATATTAGTTCCTCAAGATTTCTTTCTAGATAACGCTCTAATAGTGCATTGATGGGAAAATTATGTATATTAAAAATAATTTGTAATTTTACGATAATGCCATGTATATATATTTCCAAGTATTCCGCTGGAAGTGATTCCAAATTTCGTTCATATCGTAAGGTTTCATAAAATTTTGGATTCTTCAGTTGTCTGTTAATGCTCCAGTCTGGTGGATTTCCACTTTTGTTAAAATTCTCAGCAAATTCATACATTTCACTCTCGTTCATAATGTATTGACTTAAAATTTCCAAAGCTGTTGTTAGATCATAATGTTGAAAATATTCCATTATTATTTTGTATTTTAGAAAATTTATTCTCTCATGTTCATTGATTCGTTCATTTTGAGATATTCTTGTCGATTCTAATTTCACGACAAATATAGTTGTGATAATAATTCCAAGAACAATAAATTTATTCATTGTGATTAAAGAATAATATAATTTTTCAATAAGGACTCTTGCTTTTATTAAAATATGTTTAAAGCCGAATAAAGTAACTCGAAACTACACAAAATAAAATTAGTGCAACTTTTATTAATTGTAAAGTAAAAATTTAAATGTCTGCAATTACATAAAAAATTTTAGTAAAAATAAAGAAAATTATTCTTTGAAAGTAGCAAAAAACTTCTGGAAATAGTTTGATAAAATTGCATTTAATTTAGAGACAGTTTGGTTTTATAATTTACTCTGTTTTTTCTTTGTATTTACAAATATTTTATTGTTTAAAAATAAAATAAAAGAACTCTTACTTTTTCAGGGAGTTGTATTTCTTCTATTGAAATTTAATTTAAGTTGCACATATTTTTTCATTAATTAAAAGTTATCTTTTTGAGTACAAAATTACAGTTTAAGAGGAACTGTAATTTTTTTGAAACCTTCTATTGATAAATAAATGTTTTTTCTATTTTCACGATTTATTATTTTTTTTTTTTGAAAAAAAGCTATAATTTTCTACTTTAATCTTAATGTTCTAAATGTTATCATGCACTGTTATCTATGCGTGTTACAAAAATTTTATATATTTTTTTTATTTTAACATACAAAAATATTAAGATAATATTTACGTTTTTTTAGCAAACTTTAAGTGTGATAAATTTTTAAATTAACAAATAAGATTTTAAATTTAATCCGGTGATGTTTCCTTAGATTTTGTTAATTTAGTTCAGCTTATAAGAATTAATTAGGAAAAATACTGAAAAAAAATTTTTCAGCAGTAGTTAAAGTAAGCTTTAGTCCGACACTGAAACAGTTGTCTTTTGTTATAAGTAGTAAAAACATTTTTAGTCAGGCAAATATTTTCATCTTTTTTTGAAACTATCATAACTGCTGAGATGTCAGGCGTAAATTTTGAAAAAATTCTATGACAGTAGTTACAGTTTTCTTTAGTCAGACTCCAGAAATGGTTAATTTTTCCTCTAAGTAGTAAAATGAAATTTCAGTCAGACAAAGTTTATCTGGTTCTTTGACAACCGAATAAAACCAATAAGAAATCAGTTGTAAATTGTGCAAAAAGTTACGATAGTAAAAAAAAAATTTCCTTTCAATGAGATTCTGTAAACCTTCTTTTGCATCAAGTAGCAAAAACCAATTTTAGTCAGACCAAGACTTTTATTTTCAGTAGTGAAAGTCAGTTGTCGACAGACAAATAATGACGATAAGTGAGGATTATTTCGAAATCAGTAGCAAAGGGACGTTTTAGTCAGACTTTTTTCAGATTTAATGAAATTTAATATAAGGCAGAGAGGAAAAGAAAGAGAAGGAGTTAAATTACTCAAAAGTGTAGAAAATTGTTTACTTTCAGTGTCAAGTAGTAAAAGTTAGATCAGATTTTCCTTAATATTAAACTAGAAATTTTTACGACTGAATTTTTTTTCTATTTGTATTAAAATTCCGTTAAATGAAAGAGAAAAAAAGTTTCGATCAAAATGCATAATAGTTTTGAGAAATTTTGATAAAAAAACGAACAGAAAAAACTTGAGAGACAAATTTTTAAAGAATTTATTTTTTTATGATAAATATATGGACCACAGAGTCATGTAATTAAAGTAAGATTTTAATTACCTTAAATACTTGAAGCAACTCGATGGTCACATCAAAGCCCAATGTAAACGTAGAATGGTTAGACTATGTAGCGCTTAATTATTGGGTAAATCACAACACTTGAGGTGTCCCATTTCCGTTTTACTTTGATCTTTTCTCATAATTTTATATATACTTCAGGTGGCATATGCATACGTTGATTAATTAAAGCAAACCACTTTGAAATTCATACATTATTAAAAACATAGGCATGCATAATTAAAATGAACATATATACATATTTTTATATTTAAAAGACCAAATTTTTTAATTATATACTACATTTTTAATTTTAGTTTTTATTTAATTTTTATTTAATTTTTATTTAATTTTTCTTTAATTATTCTTTAATTATCATCTTTTTTATTTCTTTTAATTATCTTCTATTTCTTAATTTTTAGAATTTTCTTTAATCATCTTTTTTTTCATTATTTTGTAATCTAATTTTTCTTTAAACTTTACGTTTGACACATTTAGTCTTTAAAATTCAACCGTATAATTATTTTTCTTCATAAAGATTTGTTGGAAAAGAATGAAAAAGATGGAAAAATGGGAAATTGAGTTAAGGAATTTTTTTTTATTAAAGAGAACAGATGACATTAAAAATTTCTCCTCTTTGTGTATTGGATAAAGAGAGAGAGAGAGAGAGGGAGAGAGACAGATGCTTTTTTTCGATCCCTTCTGAAACATTGTTCGGGATATTAATTTTTATAAGGAAATGAAATTGTGAAGCGAAAAATCAAATTTCCGGTGAGAGAATACAAAAGAGGAGGAAAAGAGAGAGAAAGGGAGAGAGAGAGAGAGAGAGAGCGACGTGTGCTGAAGCACCAAACGACTTGAATGGAGGGCAATTCGAGAAAAATCTAAGCCCGCATCGCGCACGTGTGAGACGATGAGGTTCTGATTTGTCGACTCTTGCTGAGCAAACAAGCAGTGGGTGAAATGAGAGTCTCGGTGGTCGGGCAACTTTTCGCGCCTAAGGCTATACTTCCTCTTTGGGCGATTAAAGAACAAAAAAAAAAGAGAGAGACAGAGAAGTCAGTAAACCAACAAAAAATCAAGATAAAACTTAACCAAATAAGCTTTACCACCCCCTCCCCCCTCTTCCTTTTTTCACACTCTAATTATTTTTCAATTTAGATCAAATTCGTATTTTTTCTAAAAAAATTTAAACTTTAAAAAAAAATGTTACATATAAAAGTAATTTTTTAAAACTTTTTTTCAAATAATGAAAGTAATTAAAACTTTTCTTCAAAAATTTTCGTTTGTGTCAAAAAAGCAAGTTAACCAAAAAAAAAATTTGTTTAACTTATATTTAAAATTTTTTTTTTTTTACTCAAGTACTTTAAAAAAATAATTTATTATTCAAAAAAAAAAAAGGTTTTTATTATTTAAATAATTTTTTTTATTATTCTCTTCATGTGAAATTAATTTAAAACTCTGTTTTTTCATACACAATTAATTTTTTCAACTTTTTAAAATTCTTTAACAAAAGCATATTTTTATTTATCAAAAATTCATAAATTAGTTAGTTTACTAACTAAAAGTCAGTCACGAACTTTTATCTATGTGCATGAAATAAAGAGAATATAAAAATTATTGCTTTTTTTTATTTTTCTGCATTTTGACAAACCGTAAAATATGATAACAATGTTTAATTTACATCGCTAACTTTCAATACGATAAATATTGAATGTTTCGAAAAAGTAAAGTAAATTTTTAAATATTATTTTGTTTTCAATTTAAAATACCGATTTTAATTGAGTTTATATTTCTTTTATTTACGTATACATCATGTTCTTTTTTCTAAAAAAAATTTAATCTTTAAAAAAAATGTTACATAATTAGGTATGTATAAAAGTAATTTTTTAAAACATTTTTTCAAATAATGAAAGTAATTAAAACTTTTCTTTAAACATTTTCGTTTGTGTCAAAAAAAGAAGTTAATCAAAAAAAAAATTTGTGTTTAACTTATATTTAAAACTTTTTTTTACTCAAGTATTTTAAACAAATAATTTATTATTCAAAAAAAAGGTTTTTATTAAATAATTTTTTTCGTCATTCTTTTCATGTAAAAGTAATTTAAAACTCTGTTTTTTCGTGCATAATTAATTTTTTGAAGTTTATTAATAATTATTGTTAGGTATTTTTATAGATTAAATTTTTAAAATTAAATTTTTCTTATAAAATTTATAATCTCAATTCTCAAATTTTGTTTTTGAATTTTCAGTTTCAAATTTTCATTTCGGAATTTTTATACCAAATTTTATTATTTATTATTAATTTAAAAGGTCTATGAAGTTGAATTTTTATTTTTTAATTCTTGACTGTTTTTAGAGTTGAATTATTATTTTGAACTTTTATGTTATACACTGAAAATAAAAGAAGGAGAGGGGGAAGGGGAGGGGGGGTTTGGAATTTTATTTTTATTTTTAAATTTTGATTTTTTATATTTTAAAAAATTTTTCTAGAGAAAAGTAATTTTTTTAATTTGCTTTACATAAAAAAACAAGTTTATAAAATTTTTTTGAATTTTTGTTTTAGTATTTAAATTATATAAATATAATTTAAATAATATATATTAGAGAGTTAATGGAGTTTAATTTTTTCGATTTTTCAATTTTACACAGTCAAAAAGGGGGTTTTTGGAAGTTAGATTTTTGTATTAAAAATTTTCATTCTAAAGTTTCATTTTTGACTTTTTGTTTTTAAATTTTTATTTCACAATTTTATTTTCAAATTTTGTTTTACAATTTTTATTTTCAAATTTTGTTTCTGAATTTTCAGTTTTAAAAATTTTATTATTTATCATTACTTTAAGAATTTTTTGGACTTGAACTTTTATTTTTGAATTCTTGAGTATTTTTAAAATTAAATTGTTATTTTTTCAAAAACTTTTCTTCTATAAATTCAACTGACCTATTAACACACACATACATATTTTTTATTTCCTTTATTTTTGAAATTAGACATTCTCTGCGGTGTGTGATAAATTTAATTAGGGGAAGAAAAATAAAAATCTTTCGAGTGTTCATTTTCAACATCTAGATGAAAATTACGATAAATTGCATCACGTTTTGTAATCTGAAACTTTTTTCATGCTGTTCTTGTCTGAAAATTTTAATTCAAATTCTTAAAGCACAAGGTTGGCATGGGAATATCGATCGAAAGGCTTAAGTACCAACGTTTAAAGTTTCCGACTTGCACATTATGTAGGTAATCCTGGAATTTATATTTTCACTGCTCCACTTAGTTACTTAGGAACTAAGAGAAAATGAAATGTACTTCTGAGTCAACAACTTAATCTCACAGTTGATTCGAGAGCAATTTGGCAAATCGTCAAATAAACATATTTTCTTCATTCGTTTAAAGGGAAGAAACTAAAAAAAATTTTTTTTCCTTTTTTTTATTTCTGTACATAATAAAAAAAAATGGAAAATTGGCTAAGGCAGATATTATTGAAAAAAGGTAATAAAAATGACAAACGACTTTTTTTTACGTCATTTGTCAACTAACAATTCTACTAATAATTTAATTAAAATTTAATACTTGGTGAGGAATTTTTATTTTATGAATTTTTATTTTAAATTTTTATTTTGTTGTTTTTAAATTATTAATATTATAATATATAGTGAAAATTTGGGAGAGTTACAGTTTTTTTTTTTGAATTTTTATTTTATACAGAGAAAAATGTGGAGATTTTGTTTTTGAATATTTTTTTGGAGTTAAATTTTTTTTTTATTTTCGAATTTACATTTTTGAATTTTTATTTATGAATTTTCATTTTAAACACAATGAAAATTGTCGG